TCTACAGTGGCCCATGAAATGAATGACGAGTCAGACTCGTCATTGTATGTCAAGGGGTTAAAAGGCTTTCATTTCGCAAACGGCTACTCTCCTTCGACGGCGCTGCCGCGCCAAAAGAGAAAGATCGGACGCACTCTATTTGTAACACGTTGTATATTTAACAAGGTGGATTCCCCGGTCATCTCTTTTCCGTATACGCGAAATTGCTGATAACGGTGACTCGTGACTCATAAATATGCATAAGTTTTTAAACCGTAAATCTATTACCGCCAAATGTGTGTACGGCTGGCGCAAAATTTCACGACGCGCGAATTTAGTTTGACCTCGATAAGTGGCGTTATAATTTATGTTAACGAGATGGCCGAGAAAGCGCCGATAATGTTTTCTTTCTTTTTCTATTTGGTTTCATTTCTTTTATTACCGCCTCTGCGCAACAAAGAGAAGAAGTGCGCGATCGCTTATGTGAAAGTTCGAGCGCGCGCGTGATAATCGCCCGAATGTTGAACATGCGCCGGCTAACGGTGTATGTGTGTGTGTGTGTGTGTGTGTTGCCGTTTTATTTATTTTTAATTCGTCGAGATCGCGCGCTATCGATTCCTCGCGATCGCGTTCCCCCGGCTTTATCCCCGGTGTTCGGGTTCGGTTCGAGTTTTCCCTTTAAAAATCACAGCGTTCGACGCATGTAACGCTCTCCTCCGCTTTATCCGGCGCGTCGGTGAATCGCCGGGTAAGGCCGCCGTCGCTCAATCGAAGTTATAAAAGCCTCCCGAAGTTCACGACTGAATGAGACAAAAACCGAGAACTTGCACACTGCGAAGCCGCATTCCACTTTTTCCACCACGGGGAAATCTCTTAATCGACAGCGCACCGTAATACTCCCCCGGAGTGTGTAGCACACAGAAGAAGCACACCCACACACATAAATTTCAGTCCCGGTAATGAATGCGTCCCGACCAAAAATCGTCCGAATCGAAGCGCTCCGCTTCGCTTTGGAAAATTTCATAGGTACGCTGAGAAAAAGTTTTCTTCACATTTAATCAGTTTTATCGCGGCTAAACAAACCTCCAATTATTGCATCTAAACAAACGAATACGTATCTTTATTTTGAATAAAAAAATTATTTAAAACGGAAAATAACTTTCTCATGTTATAAAGAAATTATTTGTTTCATTTCATATATTTATTGTGACCGAATAATATTTTATTCGGTTGAAAGATGTTGTTTCAAATAATAGCGTTCCTTCTGTCAAATAATAGAGTTTTCTTGAATGAGACAATAAAATGTTTACGCAAACAAATAATATTTCATGTGAGTATATGTTGTTTCTATGAAGCAAATTTTAGTGAAATAAATAGGAATACTAAATAGGAATACTAAATAGGAATACTAAATAGGAATACTAAATTTAAAGAAACTTTTTCTTCTGTGTCGAAAGTTCGAAGGAACGCGCGCTCGACAAGAGAATCGTTCTCGGCGTGTTCCTCTTCTTGGGAACGATTACTCGTGACGAATTTCCGCGCACGCGACGTGTATCCATCGACGGCGCCGTGTTTTCTAGAGCGATAGATATTTAGATAGGACGTGTGTGCTAATGGAAGCCCCACACGGTGTGTAACAGTATGGAAATTGCAAATAAGATTGCAGCGCTGTAATGGTGAATACGTGAAAAGTAAAGTATAGTCGCGTGCATTCGGATAACCGCACACTTCGGCGCGCGTCCGCATCCGTGTATTACGAGGAAACTTGAATATCAATTTAATTAATTCAGTAATTGATCGATCCGTGGATCGATTCAATTTAATTTGTGGAAACACAATCGCAGAAGGCCTCAGCGCGCTCCTCTCCGAACGAAGAAAATACACGATATGATGTAGAGGTGGAGAAAGTGCGGATAATGTAGAATAGCGCGAGTAATATGGAATACGATTTCCAGCCTGTTAAGTGTCGAAACTTAACGGATAGCAGTGGAATTATTAACTGTTGAACCCCTAATCTAACCTACAAAGTGATAACTTAATATGAAGTCGCCCCATAAGCGCATAATATTCCTAGAATGTTATATGAATATTATATACAATATTAAAATAATATTTTTATAATATTCTTATGTTATAAACAATATTTGGCATCGCAACTTAGTAAAAAATTAATTTCAATTATCTTCAATAGCTCTCGAGTTATCTTAAAAAAAAAAACTTTAAATTTGTTCCATGATAACCCACAATTCCTCTAATTTCACATGAAAGCAATACGTCGAAACTGTTGCGCATAGATACCGTTGATTCTTCAACTTTCATAATCGATTTTCTCGGAAACGCAACACTCCCCTCTACCCTTCCGGAAAAGAGGACACATGTCGCGGTGTATAATCACAAATTGGAGAAGAGAAGCACGGACGAACATAAGATAGGTAGGAATCTCTTGTTTCTCGTCTGGCTTTTATTTTTAAGCGGGATTCGTAAAATATTATTACACCGGGACACTGCGTCACAATTGACATTACGACGGTCGTTGTACCAGATATAACGCTGAGAGTGAATGCACCGTTGTTACGCAATGTCCGTCGCTAAAAGCGGGCTCGCATTTTAGCGATAAAGACGATAAAGACGATATTTATGTAGGTCGAAGTCATCAATTATTCAAGAAGCCATAATTATAATCGGCCGGCCACTTCCCCCTCTCTCGACGAAGCGAAAAGCGATCACGCCGCTTCCGTGGATTCGCGAAAAAGGAAGAAAATGAAAGAAGTATCCACTGTGAACGCACATTACAAATTTCCTCCGCGTTGCCCGAACGCCGTGCATAATGTATCGTATTTAATATGCTTCCGATATGTAAATCCCAGTGCGCCCTCCTTGCGTGTTGCAAGAGAGAGAGAGAGAGAGAGAGAGGAATTACACGGATATATACACACACGCCCACACACACAACGCGATGCGGTATGCACAGGCTTCTCATACGCCGTATAATATTTTAATAACGTATTCTGAAGCGTTGATCGGAGCAAACGAAGAATCCGAACGCTGACGGTGCGGTAGTTCAAGCCGGCCAATGTCGTCGCGCGGAATTGGCGCACTCAAACTCGTAATCGAACGCCCTGCGGACGCGCACCAATCCCGTTATCGATTTTCCAATGCGGGGCAGACAATCGTTTCTCGCGATTCGCTTCATATCGATCCGTCGAAGACAAGGATGGTCTCGGTGTAACCAGTGTGACCTTGAAATTTCTTCGTCGGGCTTTTTAATCTTTCGAGGACGCCAAGGACGCGTATATACGCCCCTGACGAATTATCCCGGCTCTTTTTTTCTCCAACTTTTTTTCGACGCGAGCAACAGTTATCGAGCGTTGCGATAGGCACGTGTATTCGTATTCTTTCACGTGACAGGACGGTTGCAACATTTCTTTTCCAATAAGCTTCAAAATGCATCTCATTTCCGACAAAATTCGTTTTTTTTTTTTCAGTAATTTTCAGAAGATCACATTTTCCTACCGGATACGAGATGCATTGCGAAACTCATGACAAAAAAAAAGTGTGTTGCAACCGTTTTGTGACTGGCCATACGCGGAAAAAAGGAAAGTGCCGTTGCATCAATAAAATTGGCCGGGGAAAATATTGTAGTAAAAATTACCACAAGATTATAATACTGGATTATATCAAAATTATGACTGAAATTACGACGTGTATTGTAATCTTTAGCGATATATATCATGTGTACATATCACTAAAGATTACAATAAACCGGAATTTTCGAAATGGTTATGTTTGTTGTAATCTTTAATGATGTGTACACATGATATATTTATATCACAAGGATTACAACAATCATAATAATTTAGATGATAATTCCGGTATGATCCAGCATTGCAAACTTTCATGATAACTTTTACTACAATATTTTCCCCGCGTAATTGGAATAAATCTCCTCGATTCAGTGGTAACATCATTGAAACTCTCCTCTCTCTCTCTCCCCCCTCCCCCCTCTCTATAACTGTCCTCATTATAAAGTTTCGCACATTTTTTCGGCGATACGCGGGAGAATTTGCGCATCCAAGGACGGAGACGGAAACATGCATCGCCCAGTTCCCGCGGGTCGATTAGATATCGAAAAGGAAAACATGTGCACAATCGTGCGCACGTTGTACGTTACACACGGCAACATGAATGTGCGATATATTTCCGATTTACCGCCCTTTACGTGGGCTGCCGTGCCGCAGACTCGTCATCGCATAGGCACCTATTCGCAAATGTAATAACAGCGACGAGATCTTCCCGAGATGTCGAAACACGAGAATTACCGCTGTTATTTACCGGCGTGTGCGCGTGCAGAATGCGCAAGCCGGGAATCATAAAACATACGAACACGACACGACGATAGCGCGCGCGAGTCGGCCAGTAGCGCGCATTTTAATTACGGCCCGCCACGTATACGCGTGTGTACACACCACACATACATGTCCCTTTCCGCGCGTGCGATTTTCATCCGAGCGTCGGATTCCGCGAAGCGTTTTACTTTTCCGTCACTGAAGCTAGCCTGGGTTGGGTAGATAAGTTAGAGAGTCTACGCTCTGCTTAACCAGTCGGGTCGGGGCTCCTGAAGCGGCAAGGCGTGTGCCGTCGCGACTATGCCTCTCACATTGCTCGAAATGTCAGTCGGCGCACGCGTGTGGTGCAATCGATGGAAACACTTGCTCCTGTGACGACGCGCGAGCTAATGCAAAAGAAGCGTATTCTGCATCGCGCCGGAGCCACGTAGAGAGAAAGAGAGAGAGAAAATGTGTGTGTGTGTGTGTGTATGTGTGTATATATGTGTGTGTGGTATAAACGCATAACGGATAAAATATCGTAATCTCCTCCGTAGTGCCCTCCGCCGTCTCGCGCTACGAGATATCGAGGACGGTTGTTCGTCGCGATTCGATTGTTGTGACAGATAGACAGACAGAGGGAGAAGAAGAGAGGGAAAGAAAGAGATAGACCATGTACGTAGCAGGTGGGGTAATTGGAATCATATTGCCGTAGTATTGTTGAAAAATGCGCGCAGGTCCGTCGCGCAGCGGTGAGTCAAAGCTATCGCAGGATTATGCAATATAAAACGCCTCTCGATAATCTTCGACAAACTTCGTGCGATACCGTGTACTCTCTTAATCATACCGTCGGATCGCCCACACGTAATTCAGCGCGCGAACGAATCAATATCGCTAGAGCGCGAGCGAGAGCGACTGCGCGAAAAAAAGGCACGATGATGTTAATTATATATTGCTTAATTACCTGTACCAAAGCAGCGCGCGCGCGATGACGGTGTAATCTATCAATGTTAACGCCGGCGGGCACGTACGTACATACTCCTGGCGACCTCGCGCACCACAAAAGCCGTGACCTCAAATGCACCGGCACGGAACCTCCCGCATTCATGACGTAACGTCTGTGAAAAAGTGTTGGCGATGTTTCAATTATCTCGGCGCTCCGGCGCTTTATTGATCGATGAAGACATGACAAATCACCGGGTGAATTTAATACTCGCGTATATCTTTCTATCTCTCTCTCTCTCTATCTCGTCTACGCAGGAGAGAAAGAGAGAGAAGCGTCTCGAGGACGCGCGTCGTGCAGATCTCTTACACGTGTTGTGCGCACATCACGCGGACCCGTGTGAGCGCAAATAATAACAAGCAAAGATTTATTCGCACGACGGTAAGGCGGAGAAGTTAACCCTTAAATGCATGAATTTTTGTTATTACAGAATTTTTTTTTTTAAGTTCATAGGTAGTCCCAGAAAATGAGAAAAATATTTTTAAAAATGCGAGGCATTTGTTGAACATTGCCTTTGTGCCTTTTGGATCGTACATTTCGTTCTAAGGAAGAATTTGGTCTTCCACGTTTAGATGTGCCTTTGATCTCGACAAAGAGGAAAAATAAATATGTTGCAACACTATGCATTTAAGGGTTAATGCGCTTATTAACGAATCGATTGCCAATCTAATCGCTTGCGAGACAATGAGCGAGCGAACAGCTCGAGAAGAACAAGCTCGGCTTAACACAGCGAGATTTGAATGCGTCACGAATTCCGTTAACTGTATATCCCGTGTCTGCTGGCTCCATGTGTTGCCTATGCTTATCATCGGACGTTGTTATCATGCCGATACAAATATCTAGCCCGTTAGCGGATACCGTTACTGTTCCGTTTGACACGAGCCACGAAACCACACGGTACTGTCCCGCGGAAAGTGTAACAATCCTGACGATCTGTTCGATTCTTCGAGAACTCGAGTGTGCCTTCGCGTTCGTGCACGCTCGTTCGCGAAGACCGTTTTTTTCCGATGCGGCGATTTTTCCGGGAACGAATCAAATGGGCGCTTAATTGCAAGTCACTTTGCGATAAATTGACCGTAATAGAGACCGAAGTGGTGTATGATGTCACCGAAGTGTAGCAAAGGAGGGTCATGATAAATGTAAGTAAACATTTATTGGACGAATTCATCAGATTTATTTATCGGATAAGGAGCGTAATGAAAATAAGAACGACTGATATTAATACCGTGCCCAGTCACTTCGATCCTCGTCTTCGCCGATTACCACGCGCACCCAGCGGGCGGTGATTCGCAAACGCGATCATTTGACATTCTTCTAAACCTTTCTCGGAAAAAAATGTTCTCGAACGGCCCCGCAAACGAGTTAGAACGATAAACGCTGCAACTGCGATTACGACGAAGTAATGAGTATTTAATGGGAAAACGATTATTAATCAAAAACGCGCGTACATCTCTCATCGGAATGTATCGTCCGACAGATCCATCGGGAAAAACTTAACTTTAAATTTAATTTAAATTTAATTTAAGCAATGAGAAAAGTTATTTGTTACTTTTCTTTTTTTATTATCTTAATCTCATTCTCAAGGTATAGGTCAATGGATTTTGCCTGAAATATTCTCATAGTTATATTTACAACACATATTTGAATGCATATATATGTATATATTTATGCTAAGGGACGAGTAACAGCGAACGAGTTTTTATAGGCTTATATTATGAATAAGACGGGTCACAGCCAATTTTTGTTGCACAGATTAGATCTCTAAACGCCCAAATGAAGAATAAATATTAGTTCCCGATCAATAAAAAAAAACCCACTGCGACGTGAGCTTCATTTACCGACCGTTGGGGTCCGAAAAGACCCCAGGTGACTGTCCCCAGGTTAATCGCGATTCTGTCGGAGATAATCAGGCAGGAGTAATTGTAGTAGAAAATTAATCGTTAACTATTTAATTTCCCGCGCTCGCTCTACTAACCGCCTTCCGGCTTGATGTAATCATTCATTATTGCCAATTGGGGATTAAATGGTTCAATTACATATTCGCCTACAATATTAACTCGCCTGAATATTGAATGTGATCGATAGGCGTTCGCGTAAATACACACGCCGATTTTGCCGTATTTATATAAAGTAAATCTATTAAACAGGGATAAAATAACAAATGCGCTCCCCGCTCTCCCTCGCTCCGCCGTTCTGCGGGTCTCGTCCCTGATAAAACAACAGGAGCAGCTGACATTTGACGTATCGTGCGTCATATAACGCCATTAATCCCGCCGTCGCAACCTGTTTTTACGCATCTCTCGTTTCTCTCTCCGTCCCTCCCTTTCTCTCTCTCTTTAAGCAAAGTTACAATTTATTTCATTTCGTTCGTCATTCTCCTGCTCCTGTGTTTCGATGATCGCCTAATTAAAGCGCTTAGATTATTAAAGCTTAATTAACGGGATTTTAGCGATCTGTTCATTTGTCTTCCGCCTTTTTTCGCTCGCGCACAGTTTGCGGTGTTAATTAACCGTTCCGTCCGTCTTGCACGTCCAGCGCGCGCAACGCGCCGGTGCAACTGCGACGTGAGATTAAAAACGCGGGCTCTGGACAGCGAGTAGACAAAAAGAGAGAGACCTATTCATTCACGTTCGATATCATGAGAGAACAATTTTTAATCAAACGAAACCTCGTGCGCTCCCGTCGTCTCTGCTGCCTCTAACTGAGGCTCTGTCGATGTACCGGCGTGGAGCAAAATGAACGGACGAACATCCATCCCCGAAAGAACATCAAACGTTTACGATCTTTTGAAGGAACTCGATTATTATTCGTCCATGAAAATTTTGCTGTTTCGCGCAAAGGGAGGGAAAGGGGGGGGGGTGCCTTTCATCGCGCAAGTTTAGCGAATTAATCGCTCGTTCTTCGACATCGGGGAGAGGTGAGGAGGAGGGGGAGGAGGAGGCAATTGCGCCTCGTATCTATTCGGAACTTAAAACGCACGTTTACGACTCGCATTTCAGGTTTCAACCCATTGCGTTACAGCCGCGCTCGCGCGCGAGAAAAGAGGGAGAGAGAAAGAGAGAGAAAGGGACGTTTCATGGGTTATCGGATTATTAGAGCGATTACCTCGTTATAAATCGTTATGTCATTAGCGATGTAGGAAACTGCTCTCGCTCGTTATAAATCGTTCCACCGTTACACCGTAACACTGTAAGAAAAACGGAGACAAGTCGATTCAACCGTCGCGAGAACCCGTCGAGTCACGTGTCAATAAAGCTTCCGATTCTTCTGATCCGTACAGGTATCGCGCGAAGACGAAAGAGGGCTCCGTCCGGCTCCCGACGAACTTCCACACCGGCGTTAATGAATCAGAAGTGAGTGTGCGATCGGTGTGGGCGTTCTCGCGCGGGAAACGCACGGAGTGACCGGAAGCTCCAGGTGGAAGATTCGAAGGACGTCTCTCCGAGGATTCAGTGGTGCGTTTCGATCGAAGATTCGTTTCGAGGCGCAGAACGCGAAGCGAACGTCACAAAATAGTGCATAAAATACGGGCAAACAATAGAGGGAAAAATTCTTCTTCTCCTTCACGAAAACAGGAAACAACGACCTCAGGACAGAACAGCGAACCGGCCGTGCACCAGTTACCTCGTTCGCCGTTAACTTTACGCTTCGAAGCCAAATAAACCGGAGAAAGAGAGAAGTTCCAGTACGGATCGTCGCCGCTCGTGCGGGGAAAGAGGAGCGATCGGCGACGCTATTTGCAACGGAATGCCGTAATTGTACGTGAGAGATCGAGCATTAAGTGCGACGAGACTATCTCGCGAGAGTGTAACGCGCGTGCCGATTCGCAACGTGGGCGATATTTCATTCCGTGCCTTTTTCGAGCCGGAACTAAATCTAAGTTTAGCTGAACGAGGAAGTTCTCCTTACGCGCGACTTGTCTACCTCCACACGGAGAACGTCTTGGCAGGCTCTACGTTTCTCGCGAACGCGTACACGGGCCGCGATATCTCTCTTCAAACCGCATTTGTGTGCGCTTCGCACGAAGGTCTGTCTCTCCTCCGTGATCCGAGGCGGCTTTTCTCTTCCACGAGCACCTTCATTATACGAGTGCTTTCCGAGAGAGAAAGAGAGAGAGAGAGGGAGAGACATGCGCGAAAAGTGTATTTGTTACGCCGATAACCGATAGTCCAAATCCGTCGAACGCCATCCGCGCAAACGAGATCCGATAAATTGCGTCGAGATCTCTCTCTCTCTCTCTCTCTTTCTCTCTATCTATCTATATATCCTTCTCTACACGAAGGGTTATGCCTCCGACGCGATGCATGGGCCGATCAGTCGGGCGCTCGTAGCGACGAATCTACGGACATGATAATACACCGTGTGCACACCGTGTCGGACGACGATGATGCGCCAGGTCGCTGCTCTTGTCCCACATATTTACGATGACATCAGCCGCGATTAACCGCCGCAAGAAACACGGGGAGCGCGTCCACGAGGAGGAGCAGCGACTGCAGCAGCAACATCACCGGCACAATGAACAAGAAATTGTACTTCTTCATCGGCCTGATCGCGGTATCGATCCTGATGTTCTGCCTCTACCTCTTGAGTTTCTACGACGTGGAGATTCCGAACACGTACCACAAGACGTACATGATCCGCGATACCGATCTCGACGGCGACAACGCGACCGACTGGCCCGACGAGAGGATCGAGCGGGCGAGAGAGTACCAGAGGGCAGGCGTGAAGACGATCCTCCTGTGGAACACATTATTCGGCGATCGGAACTTCTATTTCGGCGAGGGCGATATCTTCCGCAATTGTTCCGTCGACAAGTGCAAGATCTTCAATGACCACGACCACCTGCACGTGGAGGACTACGACGCCGTACTCTTCCACGGGAACGAGCTGAGCGCGTACGAGGTGCCGCTGATGCGACGCAGGCAGCAGTTTTACGTGTACGTTAACCTGGAGAGCCCGGCCAACAGGGCGGTGCCCTACAAGTACTACGAGAACTACTTCAACCTCACGATGACGTATCGGCTCGACAGTGACATACTCTGGTCTTACGACAACATTGAAGACGCGAAAACCGGCGACCTGCTGGCGCCCGCCGAGAATCCCGACTGGGGTGTTTATCAAAACGGTACGGGTATCCTTATTTCGTAACAAAGGGAACATTTATCTTGAGCAACACGGTACACTGATCATTTATTTGTTAAACTTATATACCGCGATCAGGATGTACCCATACTGACGTTAACATTTATATATTAATTAATTATCCGTATATCCAGCAAACAGCAATTAATACTCTTAACAAATCTTGCCGCTGTCCGAACACATTTTTCCTCGCTGTCGCTACACCGACAAACATTTGCCGTTCTAGCAAAATTTGTTTTCCCCGTGCAAATTTGTCCCAATTAAGGAAATTTTATCAAAGCTAAGAGAATCTTTCAGTCCGTGCATTCTCTTTGTCTCACGCTTGCAGCCGGTTTCAATTGGCCGGAATGATTAATCAATTGATAGACCACACGCTGCAATTTGCCGGAGTCGCGCACGTGCGCGCCCGCGAACGTGCCGATGACGAGTTCGTCGGACGCGCGCGCGCGCCTTCTCACGTGTACAAGCAGGCCACCGGGCGCGCGAAAACTAATCAGTTTCCTGCAGGTGTAGGGGAAGCGGTGGACGAGACGATATTGGACGTCGTCAGGGGGAAGAGCAAGCCGGTAATTTGGTTTGTAAGCAATTGCAACGCCAAAAGTGGCCGGCTGAAGTACGTGGAGGAGCTGGAGAAGCACATAGGCGTCGACATCTACGGCAAGTGCGGCTCGCACAGCTGCTCGAAGAACCAGGACTGCTTTCGCGACGTCGTCGAGCCCAACTACTTTTTCTACCTGTCCTTCGAGAATTCCTTCTGCAACGATTACGTGACCGAGAAGCTGATGAACCCGCTCAGGTAATAACACTCTCTGCCTCGGACAACGGCAGATCGTTACCCGCAACTATCTCGCATGCTGTCTCGCGATAGAAAGAAAGAGAGAGAGAGAGAGAGAGATGGAAAGGAGCGCACGGAACAGAGACAATTTAACTATCCGGCAGAGCCGGGCGTTTTCCCCCGATAGCGGCCGCGCGAGTCATCGCGACTTCTCACTCGTCGACCTCGCGAACGGTGCTCCTCACGGAGGTTAAACGGCTCGGTGCCGCGAATCGACGGTGTCCGCACGCACCGTAACATCGAAAAGGACAGAAAATCGGAGCACTTCGTCCTCCCATCGACTCGCCGCGTCTTGCCGTCGCGGCTTCGCCGCGAATAAAACGGGGTCTATTTTTAGCGCCGCTTCTCGCGAGACTAAATCCGTCCCCGTCACCTTCTTCGAATTCGTCGTCGCTCTTGAATGACAGCCTTTTCAATAATGCGGCAACGTATAAAGATTGACCTTTCCGGTGTCATTGCATAATCCATGCCGCGGTCGAGAGCACCGCGCGGTCTATTCCCGATTCATGCGTGAATCAGGCGACCGCAATATCGCGCATCACGTGATATTGATGTTTAATAATAGACGCGTGGTGGGTACAAAGTTAACATCAGACGTATCCCGTCGACCGTCCGGCAGTTGAAGCACCGTCGTCGTCGCGATGCATCGGATAATTTGATCGAAGTGGCTGCCATTCGCGGACTACGCCAGGTGAACCGACCGATCGTAACGATCACAGCGCTGCCATCCGGTCACTTAAGTAATAGTAGTATAAAATGAGCCTTTTCGAAGAATTCGTTGAAACTTGCACTTTATATTAGATTTAAATATGACCTAATTATCGGCGCAATTAGAAAACGATCGGCCATTCGAAAGCTGAGGCATTCGCAACTGAAAACGACACTTTTTACACGTGTTATTTTAATGTCCTGTTTTTAACTTGTATTATATTGGATTATATATGTATTATACTTGTATTATATATTGTGTATATACGTCTATCTCAACTACGTTTCTTGATCAACATTTATTTTCATTTAGGTAATGAAATAAATGTATAGGAACGTAACTTGGCTTGATAAATATTAAATTTATAAATGGCCCCTTTGATTCGCTACTGAAAATACGGCGCTCAGCGCAACATTAAGTCCACCTTTTAGATGTGTTTGTAAATAGGTTCAGCTAACACCAATAAGAGAGCGAAAGTTGGCAGCATGTAAAATTACTAGTGCTATGTTTCATTTCTCCCACCAGTGAGTTAGCTGTTGTCAGAGACTGCATAATATATGTACTGCCTTGCTTACTCAATTATTACCTTGGACAATAAGCGCTTCTTATAATGACTGAGCAAGTAAAAGATTTCTTCTTAATACGAGTTTATATACGAATTGTTGCTTTTTTCATGTTCGAGATTGCAAAAAAGTAAATATAAATATCCTGAACTTAAAACTATTAATTTAATTAAGCTTATTTAATTCAGTTTATTTTACGCTAAAATAATACCAGAATAATACCAGAATACCATACAATTTAATTTCACTTTGCCGAAAATCACGTCTATTTTCTGTACCCGCGCTTAAGCGGATTTAAATAAATCTATATATGTTGCCTCGATTATTTTAACAGCCAATTCCAAGTCGTCTCTCTTTTATTCACTTTTATTAACTTTTATTAACTTGGTTCGATCACATTGGCCCGTATTCTAAGCGCGCTTACAATGAGCACAATAACAATGTTAGCGCGCTAATAAGACAAGAGACACGAATACTGCTTGCACTCTAAATGCAGTGATAACAGTGCTCCGTTAGAAAAAATCGATAATCACGCGTGTCCATGCAAAATTCCTATACAGAATTAGTAATAAGTTAACTTGTTAGGTAGGCTAACATCGTTGTCTGTAAGTTCGAAATACAGGCCATTGAATACAACAATTATCTCCAGCAACTGCGTCTCGACAAGTGATTTACCGATGAGAGATATGAAATGCGAGACCGGTAATTATTACTGTTGCCAACCTCGACTTCACGCGGCATCCAACCTCGTCTCTTTCACTGACGACTGAGCTGAATCTACTTCGAAACACAACTTTTGTCACTTTTCCTTGGCAAGTCGCAAAAAATTCACTCTCGTCTAAAATCGATCACTTTATAGTCACCTATTTTCCTTAAGCTGCCGTTAAATTTGTAAATTATTCCGTGTTTTTTAACATTTTTGCCGTCCCTCTTAATAAAACTGCTCCGGAAAGGTACTATGTATTACTATTTTACTTTTTTTATGAAACTGCGGCCGGACAGCAGCGCTACGATAATGTCATGCAGAGTATGTGCATCGCGCTTCTTTCCTCGTTTTCATTTACACACCACTCGCCCGAGCGTCCAATACGCAATGCGGACGTTGGCTCGCCAGTCACTCGTGCTAAATATGTCCGCTTGTATTGTTCGATATTATAAATAATCCAATTTTACGGGCAGTCACGGCAGTCGCGTATCAAAAGAACATCCACCATTGTGATACGCGCGATCAAGTTACCGCGAGTAATGAACGCAATGGGAGGTTCACAAGCGCGTTAGGTGCCCGGAAAAGTGTACTTTTATCCGCCTGTTTTGAAAAATTGAGCGTGGATATTTATTCAACGTCATATACAGGCTGTTTAAAAAAAAAAACGTAGGTTAGCTACAGTAGCAGTAAAAGATAAAATATTAATTTCAACGTGTTTTGAAATGTCCCAAATTTTAAATCGAAATAACTCATTCGTCGTGTGTCACTTGTTCACAGATTGAAAATATTAATGAACCGACAGTAACACATCTTCTAACATAATATGAATTATTTCGACACAAATTGTTCGTGATATTAACATTTGTATTTAGTAAATTTTTATATTTCTTATGCAAAAGTTTCATTATTTTAAGACTCAGTTAAACCTATGTAGTAAATAATTTTATGTTAAATTGATATATTTATAATGTCAAGTGTGGCAAATATTTAGAAATGTGTCACACGCACTTGATATGTGGCATCGCAGACTGCTAGTCGGACTGAAGTCGGGCGACTTCACGCGGTATCCAAATCGCGTCTGTTTCCAAATCGACGATTGCCTGATGAAAAGAAAAAAAAAAAAACACTCGAACGAATTCACTTTCGCTTGCCAGTGCTTATTATTAATGTGTCACAGATTTGACGATTTTTTGTTCAGTTCTCTCTTTAGCCAACATTTAGCGGCGTTTGAATAGCACTTGGCCCACATTCGAGGCCCTCATTGGCACGATATAATGACTAATGAAGCACCGGGTCCGCGTTATTATTATCATTCAATGCGAACGCGTCATCCTTATCGCGGTCGCGAACGCGTAAAAGCGAAAACTTTACTTCACCTTGACGCGATTTATACCAGCTTCGCTTTTTGTCGTCGCGCCTTTCTTCACGGTTAGTCGAAGCGCGCGATTAGAGCCGCGCGAGGATCGCGTTATCAGCCAATAATGAGACTCTCTTTTGTCAATATTCCCGCAGGTACAATGTCGTACCGGTGGTTTACGGGGGCGCCAACTACAGTCGGTTCGCACCGCCGAATTCCTACGTGAATGCCCTGGACTTCGAGAGTCCGAAGGAGCTCGCCGCGTACTTGAAATATCTCTCTCAGGATCTGCGGCGGTATCAGAGCTTCCTACAATGGAAGAAGTATTATCGAGTCGGGCAGGGGACGAAACGTGCGGTCTGTGCGCTCTGCGAGACGCTGCATAAGCGGAAAAGTCCCAAGTTTTACACGGCCCTGTCGCATTGGTACGCGAAGGACAAATGTCCGATACAGACACTGCTGAGTAACGCCAAAGACGTTTACGCGACGAAATTAACGCTGATTGGTCGCGGGAAATGACGCACGGATTACGTTTCTGAGGAGTTACCGAGAAGCGTGCGCCGATCGGATACCGAGGTGTCGGCTGTCATAATTATTCCGTATTGCGCGATTAAAGGTATGGTATACACGCACGAGAGGAGTGAGATCGTGGGCCATTTTCGATGCTGCTGCACTGTAAATCTAAGCGTGTTGTTTTTACACGCGCACAGGGAAAGAGGTTTCTTTAGATTTAGTGTTCCTATTTATTTCACGAAAATTTGTTTCACCGAAACAATATATATTTGAGCCGTTTATTTTGAAAGTGACCTAGGTCCATTTATATTCAAATTGAGATATTCCAGAGTTTGCGTTTCAATAAAATTAAAAATATACGTATAGGATACCAATGTGTGTCACACTGCTTAAGTGTATCTAAGAGAGTTAAATTTACAATTCCTATTAAAATAATAGCAATTATTAAGTGAATAATATGTGTTTTCTTACCACAAATGGAGTTAAGTCACTTTCAAAATTAACAACTAGATTTGTTATAAAATTTGAAAAAGCCCAAGTCCATTCGACATAATTTGAAATGCTTCAAATTGAAAAAACAATACTCAATTTATTTTATATTCCTTTACAACACTTTAAAAGCACAATTTATGCAATTCAGGAAATCTTCTAAGTATATAAATTACATAGTTTTGCTTAATAAATTAAGCAATAATAAATTACTGCTCATCTACATTTTGTGTATGCAGGAGGGATTTGAAGAAGTCATGGTGCTCCGGTAGTATATATCGTAATAAGTCCGTCATGTCCTTGTATTTCGCTGTTGTAATTCGTCTTATATTTTTATAAAGTGGTGTCAATACAATATTTTCAAATTTCCTTGGTCTACTCCGACGTGGTAATAAATCCAAGACTTTAAACTCTGCATTCTCATCCATTGACATCTTATAGAAAATTTTATATGGTTCATTTCTCAAAAAACGCATTCAGCATATTTTTAACCAATTTATTGTTTCTCCGTTAGAATTCTTCACCCTTTTAAAAGCTACGTCCTTCAAAAATCTTGTTGATATGAAATCCTCTTGTTTCACTTCATTTAGAATAAAGTTATTACCTTTCCGGCACTTTTTGATAACATTATAATAAACTTGAGGGACAAACAGTAAATTATTTTTCTTTAATGACATTTCTACGACGCACTTTCGGACATTATCAATAATGGGTTGGACTTAAGCTACTTTCAAAGTAACGTTTTTAATTATCGAAATAACTGCGAAAATTTATGTGCCAAAAATTATCGTATACTCTGAATATATTTAACCGCAAAATATTGTTTATGACAGCTAACTTCAAGTTGTACACGTTACTACAGTCAACAAAAAAAATTGACAAATGGACTTAGGCCACTTTCAAAATAAATGGCTCATTTGTACGAAATATTATTTGCCTGAGTAAAAATTTTACTGTCTCTTTCCAGAAAATTCCATTATTTCATAGAAAGAACGTTATTATTTGAAATGAATACAAAGGCAATACATGCATTCATGGCAATACATAGCTGTTCAAAGCATCAGGGAAATTATTGTTAAAAGCAACGAAAAAAAAAAATTATATATATATCTAGATACAAATTTGTATGTGCCTATATTTCTTCGTATACGTATACGTACGTGTGTGTGTATAAGGGAAAACAAGCCGACTCACCTGTGATCACTTAGTCTGCAATAATTCGAGCATTCCTGAGACTATAATAACGTAAGTGATTACGTAACTTCGACGTCTGATTTATGCACCGATGATGGGTCATTAGACCGAGGATAGCAGATCGATGTATTGACTACTCGCTTGATTAGTTAAGATCAAAGTAGCTAAGTTCCGTCACGCCGACACTACTGCATCGTGCTCCACGAGTTCGAGGCAGGTCGGTGTGCGTGATATACACAGCAATCATGCGGTGCGGTGTTCACAAAGGAAAATGGCTTTCTAAGATCGTGCATTAAATACCATCGAATTAACCGAAGGGGTGTTTAACGTTACGACCCAACGAACGCGCTTATCCGCGCATAAAAGACTGACGCGTTGGCCCTGACACGTTACCGAAGTTGGGAGGATTCGCCGACGAATAGGGAAATTTCTCACGATACATTCGTACTTTTGCGCGTTAGTGCCTTTCGCTTCTACGTATATGGTATATAAATAATAATAGAGGTACGGATAATAAATTACATAGTACAATCATCGTATGGACAGTTAATGGGACAAGAAGGAGGTACAATTAAGTGAGAAGCATGTATACGTATATAATGAATAGTGTGTAACGCAAACAGAGAAGAAAATATTTATCACTGCGCTGCTACTTGCCGTCCGCGACTAATTCAAATGCCTGTTGTCTGTATACTTTCACAGTATTTTTTATAGTATATTCTAATCGTCTACCTCAGGAAAAGCGGCGATCCGAAGATAACGAGACCCTCGAGACGAGCGCCGTTTCTATTCAAGATTTAACGAAGCGATTTTGAAAGACGGATAGGTGATATGTAAGCGTAAGTTAAGAGATTTTGTAAGTTTTGTACAAACCTCACACGTGAAATGTTACTTAACGGTAAACAGTATTAAGGTTGAAATGAGGAACCCGATGAGGAGGTTAATATTTAATCTAGTTAGAACTGAACATCGCGCGCGAATCGCAGACCGCGCGCAGTTTGCGACGCAGATAATGTAATTGCTGCACGCGCGTACACAAATAACAAATGGAAAGTCATATACTTATCCGCAATAACCATAACTAATTCCTGCTCTTAAACGCGCAATATTTAAGCTAATGAGCTGCGAAGCAAATTTGCGTTCGATCTTGTTCGGCTACGACACACAGGTAAATTGTATCGCATTTTTACAAACCGGTTTACACAGGCATTGCATTTGTGTAAGACACCGACACCATTTTTGTGTTTCATTAGTTCGTAGTGTTTCTAATGTTAAATAAATTGCATATAATAACCACTATAGTCAATTTATTTATTTCGATGTGCGAATAAATTGTATATTAATTAAAAATGTGAAAATTAAGTATCGAACGTTGTAGAACCACGTTGTGGATTAACATAAAGTAGATTAAGACTGGAATAACGGTATGTATCGAAATTCTAATTCTACATTAAGTCTGATTAGTTCTTGTATTTATAGTTTTAATCGCTTTTCTTTATTTTTGCACGGCAAGAAACCGAAAAGATTCGTGGAAAAATGGAAAAATCCGTTGACGAAGGATCTAATCGCGCGTAACTAACACGCAATTCGCCGACTCTTTCTTTCGGATCTTTGGCTGAGGGATATTTTCCACGCGCGGACTATGTGTCCTCGCTGACTTGCTGACTTTAGAAAGAGATTTTCGCGAGCGCTCCTTCACTTATTGATCCATGGCCATAAATGTTCTGATTGTTTACTTGGCACTGTATGAAAGATGGTACGCTTGCGCTACCGGAAAGTGGAAGGAACTTCGAGCCGAGAGAAATAACGAGATTAAACAAGCTTGCTTCCCCTGTGTTGCTCGAGTTTCTTCACCCGTCTAATGAAGAAAGCTTCCATTTCCGTTAGTTTCTGTCTACACGTCATGGCGTCCAATTAAATTGCGATCTATTATGTCCACAATTTCACATATTCCTCCATTTGTTGTATATAAATTCTAATGATGATATAACCGTAGTTGCCACGGTTGCGCATCGAAATTCCGAAACGACGAGCGTTATTATCGGATCTTTGAACGTTTAACGGTTAACGCGTCCGGCTGGAACTCGACTCTCTCACGAGTCGCCGTTTTCCGAGATTTCCGTCGAGACAGGAAGGTGAAATGTTCTTAGGTGAATTTCTCACGTGCTCTATTCTCGTGTCATTTGTCGTTGGCTATGACACCGCGCGACGTTGCTCCACTGGAGATCGCTTAAATCGCGAGCTTCATCGTCGGGAAGCGAGATGTCGAAAGAGAAGGGACTGCTTGACACTTGCGCCAACCAAGCGGCTGCTCCGGGATTAAAGAGCTTTGGTGAATTTCAACGGAATTGAATAGAACCAGCGCGAGTCCGTCCATCGTCCAGCTAAGCGAGAAAGTCGATATTGCGGGAGGCGGCAACTTTACGAGCCCTGATTAGGAATTAGAATGTCGTCTAATCGCATGCGGTAATTTGATATATTGAGACAAACGAGACTCGCAAGAGGACCCAATAAATTGCGATCTATTATGTCCACAATTTCACACATTTCAATAAACGTTTATTTAAGTACGACGAAGTAAAATTTTATTCCTAGCAAATAAACCAATTAATAAGAAAATTTAGCCGCACACGGGAAAAAGAGATTGAAATTTTGCGAAGTAAATGTTTCTCGTGACATTTCCTTCGATATCGGCTGGACAAAATTTGACTGTGATGACAGAATATATACTTTCGCGAAATATACCCAAGTTTTCCTATTAATTGGTTTATTTGTTAGAAATAAAACTTTACTTCGTCGTATTCGAATAAACGTTTATTAATAAGAAAATTTACTGTAATAAACTTTATGTTTTGCAGATAAATTTGTAAATCTTACTTTCTCAGTGTACTGACATGCAAGACGAAGAAACATCGGAACGAGACAAAACTCGGCTGGGATCGGGCTTCTGCTTACCAGGTAAGGTAACCCGTTTTTGCCACTGAGCTATTTAGGCTCTACGTCAGAGATGTCTCCCGCTTTCCCATTTGGACCATTTGTAGACGTAACATGAAAACCGCTTTTTAATACCGAATCGGAGACCACGGCAGTCCTCACTGCCGGCCGAACGTGTACACACGACTCCTGTACGGGCGGGAGAGATGCGTTACCAGGTGCGTTCGTGCGCACCGTCGAAGGAGAGAGGCCGGGAAGCGCTCTCCTCATAAAACTCGATCGGATAAGCGAACGCCGCCGGCGAGTCATCTCGGACTCGTGTAGGTTCTTAATAGAGGAAACTTCGCTTCCTTTGTGCCGGCTTGACTCGGCTGCTTGCACGATAAGATAATCGTATCCTGCCAGCGCACGGGACGATAATCGAATCACAATAAACCGGACCGAGAGGGAGAAAGAAAGAGAGAGAGAGAGAGAGAGAGAGATGCACCACCTAAGTTACCGACATAGATATTACCAATGATAGTTTGCGCTGAACTTACGGTAATCGCAGAAGTACGTACAAGCGCGCGCGGAAGCCGCGCCTCGCCGCTAGACGGTTACATACCGCGGCGGCAGTTCGTATTGTAAAAGTACTTGGCTGCAACTTGGGGAGCATCGGGCAACCATTCCGGTAGGTTGTAACAACCTCCAAGTCCTCCTCAAAGTTCATCGTGGCGGCAATTTCTTGTCACGAGTGTCGTAAACTCGTTGTCGTCACCGTGTGTGCGTGTGTGTGCGCACCTCTGTGCCTGTGTGCCTCACTCACTCACTCACTCACTTTGTCTCTTTTTCCCCCTCTCCTCACCCCGGTCGTGTATTTGTAGGGAACACGACATTCTCGGCCGGATTGGTTAGCGTTACCGATACGCGACGGTCGAATTGCGAATCGAAGATTGAAATCAAACCGATAGAGAACTCCGGTTCGGAAAGAAAGGGAGAAAGAGAGTCGGAGAGGCGGAACAATGAGCCGCATATTTATTCATGAATGCCATATGTTTATTCATGACGATCGGAAACGCGACACCCGGTGTAAGGGGTAACATTTTTCAGCGGTTATAACATCGGGTGTCGAGCCGGCCCGGAATTACGCTGATTTATGGCGCACGGATGTGCTCAAATCATATCAGGCTGGAATTATGCGGCCATAGGCATTCGGAAGGAGATGTTTATTTCCTGCGGCGTGCCGTGCATCGAGAGAGAGGGAGAGAGAGAGAGAAAGAGTGAGAGGGATCGATTATGTCCAAACATCGTCGTTATTCAACAATCGCGCGGCTTTGGACATCCAATTTACGATTTTCGTCACTCTTTCGCGCCGTCGCGATTCTCGCTCGAACAGCTCGATCCGGAATGAGAAGAGATCGCGAGAACGGCGGAGGGGAGTGAGGGAGAAGGGAAGCGAAAACGCGTAATATGAAACTTTGTAATTTTTGCCTCGTAATTTGGAATCTCTCTGGAGAGTACGGGCGTCGTAAATACATTTTCACGGGATGGTTACTACACATATTTCAGGCGTGATCGTTAATTTCGCCCGCACTCTCTAATATATTACGAGATAAAACGTTAGCAATTAAGTAAATGCTACGATACGGCCGTAATAATTTTGCGTTGCGTTGATTTTATATGCGTCTCTCATTGTGCCCCATTTATGATAACGTAATAACACCCGAACTCTCTTTGCCTCCCTCGCAATTTCACGATCGCCGAAATCGGTTTTAACTCATCCACTTAAAGTCCGTTTCGCGCGAATGCGAAGGTATTACAAGCTCGTGTTTTTTCCTTTTTTTTTTTCATAACAACGTAATTCATTGGCGAACAAATTGTCAAGTCGACGAATCGTTCCTTTTTTAGTTTGATCTCCCAATTAGAAACTTCTGGTATTAACTAGAGTCCCTCAAGCAAGAGTCTTGTCATCTCAGCCACTTTTTACTGATCGGTTTAGTTTATTTTGATTAAAAATGATGAAACTGAGGAATGTCAGATAAAGGAACTCTATTTGTAACTAAATGTTTTTCTAAGATAGGAGAACAAAATAACATTCAAATAACGGAAAAATTACTTTTTAAGGAATTCAAAAATCTATTTTTATATAAATATTATTGTACAAGATAAAACGATAACTATTGCCACTTTGAATATCTCTGGAACTATGAGAGTAAGAGAAAAATTTTCTAACAGAAATAACATAAAGATGATTGTCTTGTTATAGTAACACTTTTTTCTAAGTGAATAACTTCAAAAATTTGAAGGTTACCTTTATTTTCTTATGAAATCACGATTTTTTTTTAATATAAATCAATTACTATGTTCATTTTGTATATAAAAGTACTAGGGTAATATTATCGAAAAGTTACTATTTTATTTATTATCCTGATATATTTTATTTTTTATCCTGATATTTTGCAATGCAAAATATGAAATATCTCATAAAGTATTCACTTTTCGATAACATCATTTTTTTCACACTATTCTACATAATAATGTGAGAAAAATCGATTGCTGATATTAATCATTACTACATACATAACATTAGTGCATTGATGCGTTTGCAAAATGCAATGAATTTTTTTAAAGTTTTTCTATATTTGGCTACATCAATCAATTCCACTTGTTATTCTATGTACAAAAAAAAATGTTCGAGTGATGTTATGAAAAAATAAACACTTTATGAGATATTTCATATTTTATGCTGAAAAATATCAGAATAAAACGTAAAATATCTCGAAAAGTACCCACTTTTCGATGACCTTGTCCTAATATTTTTATATAATTAATATAGGAATCGATTTATATTAAAAAAAAACTATATAACTCCATTAAAAAAAAACAAAAATAACCTTTGAAGCTACCCCACCTAAAAGAAAAGCGTTACCACCACGAGACAACAGCTTCTGTACCATATAATTTCTGTAGAATAACTTTTTTTCTTATCCTCAAAGTTTCGAAGATATTCAAGCAATAGCAAAGCAAATTATCGCTTTTACCTGTATGCTATAATCAGACAAACGGCATATATACTCCCTAAACTCGGTATATTGTAAATGTTCTTTATGGACATTAAAGACATTCTAGTAACAAGTCAGACGCCATTTCTGATGAAAAAGTCGGAGACGGTCGGACTCTCACTTGAGGGACTTTAGTTTCAACTAAACCGTGCGCGCAGTTCAGGCATCGGTCGGTCGGTAAAGATTCCCGGGACAAATCATTTCCACGGGCGCGGAAAACTTTGTTTCCGATCTCTCTCGCACGCGACGTAGAAATTCTGTCGCGCAATCCCGCGCGCGCGCGCGAGGTGTTAAGGCTGCTAGCGATAAATACGAGGGTCGA